TTTTTTTTTTATTTTTGTCCACTTAATTTTTTTTTTTTTTTAGTTAAATAAGTTTTTCATCAAAGCCCCGTGAATCTATGCAAACTAAATTCACTTCTATAAAAAAAATCAACCATTATACCTATTATACGTAAAATACCAACAAGCGCAATATTTGACTAAAGGTGAAATTCTAAGATATCAATTTTGATATGAAGTCAACAATTTACTCCATACAGGGGCGGATCTAGAAAATTTGTTGAGTGTGGGCGTAAAACTATTTTCGAGAGATGGCAAAATAGTCTAAAAATAAAACATAAAATTCATTTTTATAAATGATTTATTTAAAAAAATAGATTATGGTTTTTAAACTCATAAATATAATTTTAAGTGCTTTATACTCAAAATCTTTTACGAACTAAAACTAATGTCCGATTTCTTTTAAGCGCGTTATATATTATAGAGATAAAACTAAATTAGAATCATAATGTATTTACCATATTTATAAAAAAGGAATTGGATTGAACTGGTCGGAGCTGAAATCAATCAATTGATCATGTTGGTTCGAATTGTAAAAAATGTTCAGAACTGGATCAATCCAAAGTTTTTCTTTATGAAAAGTAAGTTTGGATAATTTAAATATATTTTTCAAATAAATAAAAATATTTACATAAATATTGAATATCTCTAAATTATTATATTGATTAGTTTAGACATTTGAATATTTTAAATAATTTGAATTTTCAAATAAGAATAAATTTATATAAAATGTTGATTATCTAAATTTTAATTTTTACATATTAGTGAATTAAGTACCGGTTCAAGTGTTAACTAATGAGCTTGTAGATTGATAAAACTTGATTGTTAATTCCTAAACAAATAAATACTAAAAGAAAAATAATGTATGAAGTGAAAAAGTGAATAAATAAATAAAACCAATACATTACAGCTAGATGGTTGGAAACAAGTTAAAAACATTTTCACCACCTTTTATTTTTATTCATTTCCTTGTATATATTTATCTGCAAAAGTTTTGTTTGTTTATGTGTGACCAGTGTTCTAAAAGTCGCTAGGCGCGCCTAGAGCACCTAGTCGGGGCTTAGGCGGCGCCTAGTCGGGGCCCAGAAATCAATATTAAATACTTTATTTTTTATTTATTTTAACTACCTACAAAATAAAACTATCTCAATTTATAATAAATTCACACACCAAAGTCCAAATAATAATATTAATATATATTAAAGAAAACATGAGAACAAAATAATGTAATTAGTATTTAAGAAAATAGAAATAAATAAAAAAAAAAACTGAAAAATTACCGTCGAGCCCGCCTAGACGCCGCCTAACCGCCTGGCCGCCAAGCCCGCCTAGGAGTGCTTAGGGCTGCCTAGGCGCCTAGCAGTTTTTTTTCTGCTAATTTGTACAAATCGGAGGCGCTCGGGCACCGCCTAGCGCCTAGGCGCCGCCGCCTAGGCCCTCTCGTACCGGTATTCCAAGTGCTCCCATACGGGGTTATCCATTTTAGAACAGTGTGTGACTCATTAGAACTATCCAATCTAACATTCAATTTAAACATTTCACCAAAATTTGAGTGAGGGCCTAGGCCCCCACTGGATCTAATATGGATCTGCCCCTGGCTCCAATGTGAAGCTTGGCTTCATAGCAAAACTGTCTAAGATATGATATTATATCCCACAAAAGATATCAGCCAGTTGACCTTAGTCCACAAAATTGCTTTTCCAAAGTCACAAGCTCCTAAAATAATATATTATGAAAAATGCTTAGTCATTTTGCCCACTACCAGCCATCAGAATGCAACACAACAGAAACTGGCAAGGACCACTTTGCTCCCATTTATCGAAGGTTGAGTTGAGCATCCATGGCGGATGATGAGGAACACAATTGATCACAAAAGTGTTTGAAGAAAAACGAACAAAAACTAACTCAAAATTGCTTCAGTGTTCAGACGTTGTAAGAACATCAAAAAACTGAACTGCAAACTCAAAGAAAAATTACGAACAACTTGAATTCTCAATTGAAGTTTGAATGCACAAATAATAAGAATTTCAGCAGCCTTCAATTGATCTTGGTTTACAAAGCATCCTTAGGCGTGTGCTTCTTCTCCAAGTTCTTGTAAGAAATTTAACGAGCATACTCATAACTATCAGGCAGAATTGAATAAACCCTAAGCATGTAATTCTATCAGTTCATAGAATATGGATCTTTGCATTAATTAAATTGCACATAGAACTTACAAGAATCCAGCTTATAGTCCTTCCCTGTTTTCTTGATCTATGATGTTGATCTGCGATCTCTTCCTCTTCGTAATCTCATGGATCTATCTATCTTTCTCATAATCTCCAATGATGGATTCGCCTTTGCCTATGAATTGTTTCTCTCTCCCGCGTCTCTCGTCTTTTCATAAAGCCCTTGATGTTGAGAACTTTATTTTCGTATGAGATGGGAGAGAGGGGCATGTAGTATATATAGGAGGAGACCTACAAACTTATTCCTACTAACATTCCCCATGTTCTAACCCTAACTTAATGTCCAAGTCAAACATCACAAATTGGACTCTTTAATATTAGAACATTAATAATTCATTAAATACATATTCACCTTAAATAAGTTTGACTATTGATTAATTCAATTAGGTCCAACTAATTATATGGTCCACAATAATAGAATAATATAAAATATTATTACATTCTCCCACTTGGACCATATAGTGTCGAAACCCAAAGAACTACTTTAAGCGCGCACTTTTCATCAAACTTATAATTGAATACATTTATCTATAAGTTTAAAATCAAAATAGAAATTAACCGAGTCATGGCGGTCACAAGTCTTCGAGCGACATGATCCCTTCCATGTACCACAAATCATTTCTAATTCAACTTTACTTTAATATGGAACAAACTATTCGTACCATAACCATAAGTCATCCATCTTTTATGTATATACTATAAAATCAACAATCCATAATGATGATATTGTATGTGAAGAATCAAACATCTTTAATTGAATTCAATAAGTGTCAAAATCATTAATTGAGCAATTTCATTCAGTATCGGTCAGTCCAACAAGGCCCCATTCGTTATTCCCAATATTCTTTATATGCCTTGCGACGGCTATGGGGAATAACCCTTTAATGGATCCACTTTCATGCAATTAGTACTAAAATGCTCAAATGACACTTTATTTCTTCACTTATATTTTACGACCAAGTACTTAAATTTTATGTGATTCACACCCTTTGAATACTTGTCATACCTTTAAATATTATTGCTACGATACTGCGATAATTCTTAGCGATTTGGACAAGATGTCGACATTTCCAAGTCCTAAGATAAAGCACCGTAGCCCTAAATTTGACTTGTGGCCTCAAAGCATACCACAAACTCAAACTTAATCGTGGAAGTCACGATGATGGACTTTGTTCCACTTTTCCATAATCTTGCTCCTTTAGACATTATGAGCAAAAGTCCGAATCCAAGTATCCAATTATAACAAATAATTTGGATCTTCTTTAAATTAGCATGTGTTCTTTAATGCCTTGTAAATACTTTAAAATTTTCTTTGCAGCATTTAAATAATCATTTAGGGATTACTTTTATATATTTGTTTAATGTACCATCAACAAATATGTTATCAAACCTAGTACAGGTTCGTCTCGCTTAAGACTCGTAATCATTTATATCTAAGGAATTTCCTCCATCACTTTTCATTCCATTTCACCTTTCGAACATTTATTTTAGATTAAATGTGTCACTTTTATGAATTGGAATTATACGGAACAACCATCCATTATCTCTCAAATAATACTTTTATGGGATAAATTTTTAGTCCTTGTGATCTATTCCAGAATATTTCTATTCCACTTAGCAAGGACGTTTCATCCACATCCTTTATTTCATAACTTTTTTAGAGAGATAATACTTTACTTCGTGCAACATGTCCATATTATTAGCAACTATAATATGTCATTGACATACGAAACTAAATAACAAATCTACTCCCACTGACCTTAATGTAGATACACCGATCTACGGTATTCTCTACAAAACCATAAGCAGTGATGGTATCATTAAACTTAAGATACCATTGACGAGAGACTTATTTTAGTCCATATATCGATCTATTCAACTTACACACTAATGTTTCATTTCTTGTGATCTAAAAAACTTTTAATTAGTTCATGTAGATCTCCTTCTAAGTTTATCATTTAGAAGGTGATCTTTATGTCCATTTGATAAAGCTCAAAATCATACAGAGCCACCATTACCATTACAATTCTCAAGGAATCTTTCTTTGAAACGAGACATAATGCTTCCTTGTAGTCAATGCCTTCCTTTTGGGTGTAACCTTTAGAAACAAGTCTAACTTTATATCTTTCGATATTACCTTTAGAGTCGTGTTTGGTTTCGAAAAACCCATTTACACACAACCCTTTTAGACCCTTCAGGTAATTCTACTAAATTCCAAACTTTGTTGTCACCCATTGACTGTAATTATCCTTTCATAGCATTGATCAACTTTTACAGAATTTTTACTTTTCATGGCTTGTGATTTCATCAACCAAAGGTTGTCCTATAATATCTTGAGTGTTTGTAACCGATTCATTATCAAGTGAGTTTGAATCATTTTGTTATTCATCTAAGTTACATGACGATACTGTAACTAAAAGAATAACAACCATTGACGGACACTCGGGTCTAGACTGTTCAACCTGAGTTTCTTTAACATCCAAACTTTGCAGTTTCAAACTCCCACTGATTTGAACATTTTCAATGAATCGAGCACTGATGGAATCAACTATTCTCGTACTATGGTTAGATCTGTAAAACTTATATCCTTTAGAACATTTCGGATAGCTAATGAATAATCACTGACAGTCCTAGGAATAAGTTTCTTTTCATGTGGATTATATACTTTTACTTCTGCTTGACACCCTCAAACATGAAGATGCCTCAAACTAGGTCTCCTACCCTTCCATAGTTCATAAGATATTTTAGGAACTACTTTACTAGGAACCCGGTGTACTCATTATGCAGCAATCTTTAACACATGCATCCACATAGAAACCGCTAATGTTGAATTACTCAACCATATCCTTTTAAGTACGATCTATCCTCTCAACAACACCATTATGTTGAGGAGTCTCAGTTATAGTGTATTGCACACAAATATTTCAAATCTCAAGAAACTTTGCAAATGGACTAGGACATTGAACTTACAATAATATTCATCAATCTTGGGATATCTCACAACTTTTACTTGTTTATCTAACTACCATTCCATCTCATCATTGTATATCTTTGGATAGTCAAATGATTGAGTCATTTCATGTAGTAGATAAATATAACCATAACGTGAGAAATCATTTATAATGGTGATTAAATACTTTACATCACCTCCACAAAGTGACGTTGAATAGACCACAAAAATTAGTGTAAATAAGTTATAAAATTTTAGTGTTTCTCTTGGCAGATCTCTTTAATGTATGTCTGGTTTGCTTTTCTTTAATTCATTCTACACATACATCTTGATCACTAAAATCCAAATGAGAAATAGTTTCATTATTCACCATTCTCAAAACTTTTCTTCGGATATGTGACAAGAATCTTTAATGCCATAAGAGAGTAGAATTTTAATTATGTACACTACGCTTAACCTCAAAATAAATATGAGATGCATAAGTAGTTGCACAAAACCAAGCCACCAAATATTATTGGGAATCTTTAATAAATTTGATTCACAACATACAAAAATTTAATGTATATTTTTCTTTTCGAATCAAGATTTTATTTCGGACAATCTTTCATGAGGTGCTTTAACTTCTTACATAAATAACACCTCGTTTCATTAATGACTAGACCTACAAAACTTTAAGTAAGTCAATCTCCTTTTATTTGCCTTCGTTTCCCATTTTATCTTACTATTATTGGCTCCCACATGAGATAAAAAGTGAATCGACTCTTCTTTCATCTCATTTATCCCCGCCTCTTCCTGCACCAGCATAGTCTTATTTTCCTTACAATCCCATTTATCTTTAATGGTGTTACAGTTCACCTAGGATTGGTCAAACTTGACAGGTAGGTAGTTCATGATGAATAGAACCATAAATGAGTCTATCACATTCATTCTCATGTTTGTAAGTTTAGCTTATATGCTGAACATGTGGGTCACGAGATCATGGATGGAGCGGAATCAGATGGACTTTTATAGTGGTGAGCTCGCAAATGGAACTTTCCACAACAACCTTTTCCGCAATTTTAAATGGAAATAATCACTTGATTTTTATTTAGGAAATCTTTTGCATTATCATCCTTAATGTTATCCGCCATGATTAACTTCATAAAATTCAAACACAACCTATTTGATCGCTCACATGCCCTACGAAGAGTTACCTTACTTCGGAGCTCTCATCAGTAATGGTTGTGGGCACTTCATCAGTAATTAGAGTATATCCAAATTCAGTGCACCTAATTAAAAATGGATATGCTCATACCATTCATTGAAGTTCAGCCCATTGAATTTTTTCAATAATCATAATTGACAGAAAAACCAAATTTAAACACTGCAAACTTTAATACATGCTATTTAATTAAGCTTTGAGAGACAATTAATGGATTCAGAAATCTTTTAAATTATATATTTAAATATACCTTTGGGCAAATACTTAAATATATAATATACTTGATTGATGCCTCAGAGGAAAGATCTTTAATAGAAATTATAGGTATTGTGATTAATTAGTGGTTATCTTTGGACAAACACACTAATTAACCTAACTTTAATATAATTTCTCTTTTAGTGTCATATATTATAAACCATGGCCCACCTTTGGGTGTCCTCCTAGTTTATAATCTATAACGTCAATTATTCAAATATTATAATATTAGGGTACATTAATAAGACATCGTCTTATATTTGAATAATTGATACTTTTATCTAATTTAATTATCTATTCCATAAATTAAACTAGGCCACTTTGGTGACTAACTAGTTTCTTACATAGATAATATAATTAGATAATATTTTATTTTAATTATATTTCATCTAATTTAATTATCTATTCCATAAATTAAACTAGGCCACCTTGGTGACTAACTAGTTTCTTTACATAGATAATATAATTAGAAAATATTTTATATGATCATGTTATGAGATATTCATACATTTATTAATCTCTACACAGAAACAATTGACTTTTATACAGTTTATAAAATAAAAAACTGAAGCAAAATTATTCGATTACTGAAAGTAATTAAACAATGAGACAGCAATCCAATTCTTTCAATTTTCAACAATCAATAATGGATCGGCGCAGGCATACTGAAGGCAAATAAATCACAATCAAATTTATTCACCAATCCAATTGGAACAGTTATTCATGTCTGGTAAATAATCCATGAAACCAATTGCTTAACTCACTTTCGGCAATATTATAATTCAGCATGGCAATTTAGGATTAATTGAGTAAATAATTTCGAACCATGTACACTTACAGCAACTTTAACATCCAACAAATAATTCACGCGGGAATAAAGAATGCTTAATCATTCGCGATCAAACCATAAAGAAATAAATTGATGTCGCAATGAGTGTAGAATCCATGATCATTAACAATATTAAAATAACGCCATGCTATGATCATATGCAAAAACAATTCACGCTCGGCAAGACAAAATATTAATTGGCAATTTAATCAAATGATAAACACATGCTCTGATACCACATGTAAGAAATTTAACGGGCATACTCATAACTATCAGACGGAATTGAATAAACCCTAAGCATGTAATTCTATCAGTTCATAGAATATGGATCTTTGCATTAATTAAATTGCACATAGAACTTACAAGAATCCAGCTTATAGTCCTTCCCTGTTTTCTTGATCTATGATGTTGATCTGCGATCTCTTCCTCTTCGTAATCTCATGGATCTATCTATCTTTCTCATAATCTCCAATGATGGATTCGCTTTTGCCTATGAATTGTTTCTCTCTCCCGCGTCTCTCGTCTTTTCATAAAGCCCTTGATGTTGAGAACTTTATTTTCGTATGAGATGGGAGAGAGGGGCATGTAGTATATATAGGAGGAGACCTACAAACTTATTCCTACTAACATTCCCCATGTTCTAACCCTAACTTAATGTCCAAGTCAAACATCACAAATTGGACTCTTTAATATTAGAACATTAATAATTCATTAAATACATATTCACCTTAAATAAGTTTGACTATTGATTAATTCAATTAGGTCCAACTAATTATATGGTCCACAATAATAGAATAATATAAAATATTATTACAGTTCTTTCCTTCCTGTGCGATCTCTTTGATCTTCTTTCCAAATATTATGTAGAAACATGGAAAGTAAATATCTTCTTTGAGTTTCTACTCAATCGAACGCCTCCTACCCTGCCATGCATAATGATATCCTACAAAATATAATCATAATAAGGTCATGCAAATCTAATAGATATATAAATATGTAATCCGAATTAATATAAATAAAAATAAAAGAATTTCCCTTTTTATTTCTCATTTTTGCAAGAACAGATTTTCAATATATTATTTTTGAACTCATGCCATAAATAAATCTTTCAATATCAATATATAGTGATATTCTACTAGATTTTGTTGGTTTTTGGTGTATTAATATCTCATGTCATTTATATGACAACACACTTCATTTTCTATCTACGAATAAAGAAAATATTTAATTAAGTTCTTTCTCATAATGTGTGTTTCTTTTACCATACCATCACCACCACATGCATTTGCACTTCGAAGAGGCATTAAGTTACAGCCCCATGACCTTTTTTAATAACATCAACAATAGACTTTGATATGCCTCTCTTTTCAAGTAAAGTGTGGCGTGCGACGTCGATGGTGTTCAATCAGGATTTGTTATTCTCCTGAGATTGTTTGATTTTTTGGATAAAATTTTCAATGTAAGATTTTTTTATTTTACTTATTAAATACCAATTGTATATTCGTTTTCGTGTCTGTAGGTGTGTTTTTAATTGAGGTGGGGCTTCATGTAAAATGTTGATTACACATTTATTTGGTTGAGATTATTTTTTATTTTAATTATAATTGAAACTGCTTCAGTTCCAATGGTTATGAAAAGAGTTTATTCGGCATTATATGAGAAATTAACCTCATAAGTTTTCTAAGTATCTTGTAATTAATTTACCTTGTAACAAGAAGAACATTTACTTTTATATCCAGAATCTTTGTAATGTAATTATATTTGTGGTCTTTATTGTCATTTTCAATGAATACCGAATCATTTTTCCTCGTCAAGTTCATTGGCGATTGAATTATGATTTGAGATATGTTCTTTCTTCTCTTTTTTCCAGAAAGACTTCTTGTATTACTCCGAGATGGCCAGAAACTAATGGGGATGCGTCTTTCCTTTGATCAATATGATAATTGAATTGCAATATAATTCATTTTTTACTTTACTATCCCTTGTTTTTATTGTTTGTGTAACATAATTTGCTATCTTTTGTAGCTAAGGTTATATTTTTTAGTTTGTCATAAATATATTATTCTAAAATATTTTTAACACCGCAAAAACTTTGCTTCTTTGCAGCTGGGTTGAGCTCAAGAGTCTTCATTTCAAGTAGTATGTGTAAGTTTTGTTGAGTTCACATTTCTTTAATGCTTTTGTGTCTAAGAATTGAAAGCAACAATAATAATAACTAGTAATCATCTGTATATAAATTATTATAGGTAATATGTGTGAATTTAATATTAAAATTCTAAATAATGAACATATTATATTTTCAAGATTTGATCAATAATAAAAATAAAATAATATAAATATAAGTTATTTAAGTATATATGAATCACTATATTAATTGAAAAAGTTAGTAGGTAATGTAATTTTTAAAATTTGGATGAATCATGGTCAAATAATTTAGTTTTTTTTCCCAAAACGATAGAGGAACTATTATAAATCAAAAGCGCACAACGTGCGAAAAGGATACAAAGCTCCCAATGGGAGAAAAAAGTGGGAGGACAGGTCAAAAGACCGCCTAGAATCCCGCTAGTAACGCTAGAATAAAAAACTCACAACAAAACTAACCAGCAACACCAACAACTACAACAAACTAAACAACTAAAACAACTAAAACAACTACCCGAGTGTCGGACCCCAACAGAGTAATACCCGAGTGTCTGACCCCAGCAGGGTAATAAGGTGACACTCGGGCATAACAATTGACACTCGGGCTCACTGGGGTCAACGACCCAAACCAAAAGTACAAGGCACTCGCACCGAACTCCCACTGGGAGAATGCCTAAGAGATGGCTCCCAACAGGAGAATAGCAGGACACACTGCAAACTGGGGCCAACGGCCCAAACCTAAAACACGAAACAGAAAAGAGAACCACACAACCTAAACAAAAAACACTAAAAATAAAATCTAAACCAAACAACAACTAAAAGGCATCCCTCCCTCAGCAGAGACTTCCAAGAAGGCCATCGAACTAAGCCAGCTACTGGAGAATTCAAAGCAGCGGAGAGGAATTGAAGGATCCAAGTCCAGCCGCCCCACCCAGCCTGATGGACAGAGCCAAACCCGCCGGAATAAAACAAGGCACCCGCCGACCACAACCAAAAGAAAACCGAGACAAATTGGCATCCGAAGAAGGCAGCCAACACAACTCACCTCTTACAGTCACCAAAACTCCGGCAGAACAGAACCGTATCAATCGACGGCGAGATAGCCACAAGAACCAATCGAGCGTACCTTGAATCCAGCTTGAAACACCGAGCCCATCAGTCCGACCACGGCGACCCGACCTCACCCCCTCTCCAGCCACCGTCTTCCGTCCAGCCCACTCTCGTCGAAGCACCCGAAGGAAGGGCGCAGAAAGGGGATCTGCAAACCCTAGGCGCATCTTTCGGCGGAGTGCTGAAGTGGAGAGACGAGGCCAAATCGAGGGTGAGCGGCGAAGCACGTTCTCCGGCTAACCCGGACTACCGCCGGGGAGAAGAGAAGGCTCGATCAGAAGACGATGATGCAGGGATTGGGTAGAGAGAGAAAGGGGGCTGGGGCGATTGAAAATAATTTATAAATAATTTAGTTGAAAAATTATTATTATTATTATTATTATTATTATTACTATAGCAACAATTGTTTATAAGATTTTAAAGTGATTTGACTATGCTATTGAAACTATTTAGCTATTTTGTTTTAAAGAAAATTGTTTCATGAGATAAAAAAACCATAATATTAGTTTTAGAATAAGTAGATTGAAGAAAAGAAATTGCAATAGAATTATTTATACTTATGTAATTTGTATTTAATATGAATTATTATTAGTTGATATTAACATTAACTATTATATAATATCATAATAAAAGAAAATATGATTACTCTTAATAAGGCATTAATGTGGAAGGTAAAAAAAAATTATGATAACATTTTGTAACAAATGTGTTGCCAACAATTATATATATAGATAACAAGAGAAAAACGAAAAAAAAAAAAATAATAATAATAAATGACAATTTGAATTCTAGAACACAGGGCAATACATCTTTTTCATTTCTCATTTCATTGTTGTTCACGAATTTATGAGACCCACCACTTGAGTGATATCAATTATAAATATAATTCATTGTTGTTCACGAATTTATGAGACCCACCACTGATAGGTCGAAAAATGTGCGTATTTTATATATTTAATAGTGTATTTTCAAATGCTTAATTTATTCGCACGTTTATATTTTTCGACTTATTTATAATTTGGATGGATTCATATACATTGATTATTTTATATTTATTTGCAGTGTATTGGTGTATTTTTTTGGACGAGAAGCAATGGGCGGAAGTTCAAAACGATTTATCGGGCCTCGTGATTTAGAAACAAATGTTATTTCATGAGTTAGGCCCAATGAGGTTAAGTTGGAAGAAATTCATTTGCTTGGAGGAGTTCTATTTCGCAGCACCAAGGAGAATTAATTTGTGGGTGACTTGGATTTATTTTGACAAGTTGATTACTTGGCTGAAAATAAAAAAAAATACCAAGCAGTAGGGCCACACACTTTGATTGGAGAAGAGTTTAATTGGGGGAGAACTCTTTGACCGTGAATATATATTTGCTTAGGAGAATTATTTGAGGAATGGCACTTAGGCAGAAAAAAGATTAACGCCACGCACATGGAGAGCGGAGCATACAGAAAAAAAAAAAAGAGAGGGCCGCATAGGAGAAAGCAAGAATACACGCACAGACTGTGAAGGAAGCTACATACGCGGAGGGAAGCCGCACCCGCACACGAGGGAGATATTTTTATCTTCTCTCTTTTATTTATTTATATTTATTTTTATTAGTATGTTAGGCTAGTAATTTTATCCAGTTTGAGGGAATGTTTGAACCCTAATTCCGATTTGTCTATGAATTGGATGATCTTTATTTATCGTTAATTAATCGAGACTCCGTATTTATTTTTGTTGATGAGTTGATTCATGCTATCTGTGTCGAATGTTTATAAATTATGAGTTTTTGATTTAGTTTGGCCAGCTAGGTTGAATATTCATAGTTTAATTGCTAGATTCGAGACTTTAATCCGTAATTGTTATTGTCTCGTTTCGTTAGTAGTAAACTAGGGGTCGTGCATCTCTAGGGTAGCGTGAACATAAGTTAAATGGTCCGAGCTTTTGCGTCCGTTGCTTAGACTGATCTATTTTTCTAGAGATTAATGCTGCTAGTGAATTAAATCTAGAGAGCTTATTCTAGGTTGTCCACTAGTTAGGTTTAGTCGAAGAGCTTATTTCGATTAAATATTCGGTAAGGGAAAATTCGGTTAACAGAGCTTGTTGTTAGCTAGGGTCGGTAATTCATTAGCAATTTAAAGAAAGCGTCGAAATTAATTAACGGTAGATTTAGATTGGGTGATAACTGAACCGAAAACTGGACTTCTCTTATTTTATTTGATTTTTATTTTATTTTCTTATTTTTATTTTTATTTTTATAAAACCAATCCCCCCCATCTTTTATTGCTTTCCTAGTTAATTCAATTAATACGAGATTGTCACAATTTAATTCCTACTCCTCGTGGGATCGACCCTTACTCGCCACTACTACTAGTTAGTAGAGGTTTGTTAAGGAAAAATTATAAATTTAAATTTGCCGCGTTGCGATGCGCGGTCAACCACTTGAGTAATATCAATTATAAATATAATTCGTTTTTGTAAAGTTCTATCACTACATTGCTTTTTGTTTGTTTATATACAAGTCTATATAATATTAAAAATTAGAAATTTTATTATAATTTTATTTTAAAATTATTTATTTTAAATATTAATACTAAATAAAATAATTTTGATATCTATATATATACTATTAGTAAAAGAATAATCTTGACATTGTTAGTAACAATTCTATGACTTAGATAACATAATCTTGACATTTTTAGTAACGTTTTAGGAATTATTTCTAACTTTCTTGATGTTGTAGGAAATACTTTATGAATCTTCTAAAAAATAAAAATGTTATATTTAATTGTAATTTTTTTTCAATCATATATTGGTAATTTAAAAAACTAAATATGTGTAAGATAATATATTTTATTAAATTATTATTTGTTATTAAAACTAATTCAAAATAATGAGAATAAAATGTAAATACTCATGTAGAGTAAAATGTAGAACGAACGATTGGAGATGAATTTTGACGGTTGGTAAACTCAATTGTAGAGTACAGTAAATTCTAAACTAGAATAAAAATAAGGAAGACGAGAGATGTTCTAATTTTTCCCCTTTTCCCCCTCTCCTACCGATGCCGCCGCCTGCAACTTCTTGAGCTCGTGTGCCTTTCCCAGCGGAAATCCGGAACCTTTGTCGGTGGTCGGCCCTAGGCCGCGCGGCTTTCGCCCCGTGTCATGTGCCGCTCCTTCCAGCTTGAGTCGGTGGAGGCTGATGACTGTCCGCGGCCGGTTTGTCTTCGAGATCTAGTGTCGGCCTGCGATTGTAGCTCGTCGGCATCCCCGGAGTCAAGGTGGTGTCATGTGGTGGTGTTTGGAGGGGGTTGGCTATGGCTCCGGACGCTATTGGCGTGTGCGTCAAGAGGCGGTCGGGGTTGAGGTGCGGCTTCCCTTGCCCCCTGTTTCCCCTGACTCCTTGGTGTGCGGATGAGGGGTAGTCGACGCTGTCGGATCTTGGCTAGTGGTGTTGGCTGACTCCGGCGTGGTGGTGGTGTATAGGGTCGTCTACTTGGAGTGTTTCGTGGTTTGGGTCTCGGCTTCAGTTAGGCCGTTCGACAGTTTCAGAAGTTATTTCTCGGATTGCGGTCTAGTCTGTTTGGGTGGGCGGCCTTGGATCCGTTGGTGCTTCGTATTGGACTTTGGATTATTGCTGTGGGAAGGGCTATGTTTGTTTGTGTGTGTTGTTAGTGTTTGTGGTTTGTTTGGTATGTTAGTTGTTGTGTTTGTTGTCGTTTTCTCTTGTTAGGAGCGTGTTTTACTCCCGTTAGGAGCGTGTTATTCTCCAGTTGGGAGTTGTATAGTTTGTTGTGCTGTGAGTGCGTTAGTGTAGTTGTTTGTAGTTGCTTCTAGGCTATCTCTGTGTAGGTCTCCTGGATTAAGCTGTTTGAGTGCTTGTCTATTCCAGCTGATTTCTAGCTGTGATTATGTGTTTTTTAGTTTTTATAAAATTTCTATCGTTTTGAAAAAAAAAAAAAGAAAAAGAAATGTGTACAAGTTCTTGTGGCTTTTTCACGTTTGTCATGGTAACTGTGTGTTCTTTCTAACTAGTGCGCATCCTGTGCGATGCACAGACGACTTTGTTACTTAAAGCTTTTTTAAAATTTTATTTTAAACATAATAATTGATGTTAAACATCTCATTATTGCAAGAAAAGAAACACAAAATATGAAAAATTATATATTAGAATAAAATGAGTGTCTCAAATCAAACTAATAACATCTAACACATGGTATATGATAAAATTAATTATAGGAATCCTCATGATTTTTGAAAGAAAAAAAAAAACTATATATATGTAATAAATATGAGATATTTAAGATTCGCATTAATATATTGGTACATATACATCTAAAAAAAAAATTTGTTATATATAGAATTATTCATTAACTTTGTTGTATAATTAAATTTTATATTTAAATAAATTACAAATTGATTACATATTCAAAATTAAACATCATCAAAAGTTGTGTGACATAAATTTTATATTCAAATTTAAATCTCATCAATTTGTACATATTTTGTGTGATTTTGTCATATCGAATTATTTTCTTTTCCAATACTAATTTGTATGATATTTACTCTTTACTACTCTCTCCGTTTAAGAATAAATGTCGTTTGAGTTTGCAATATGTGTTGTTTTTTAAATGTTGTTTCAGATGTATTTATTTATTTTCTTGTTTTATCCTTTTCATATATCTTAAATAATCTCATATTTGGTTCCATTTAAAAAAAAAAAGTCATGCAAAAGAAAACTAAAAAGTGACATAACAATGCTGATAACTTCCACACAAGGAGAGAAAGGGAGAGTATATATATAATAAAAAAATTAAAATAAGATATAAGAGATTTAGGAAAACCTTAAAATAACAATTCCCGTTAAATTTGTAATTATGCATTTTTTAAACGAAAATTACATAATGTCAAACAGATGGAGTATGATTTGTTTCCTTTTCCAATATTTGAACTAATTATTCATTGGATGTGTAAAAAAATAGCTACCAATAATCCACATAATATAATATTCTTTCAATTATAAGATTTTGTAGTTAGATAAATATGAACAAAAAAATCATCAGTTAAGTTGAACAATCTGAAATATAAAAATTAATTTTGAAATTAGCATTCTTTATTAAATAAGTATGATTTTTAGTCATGACCATACAATATGAGATTTGTAGATAGATAAATATGGATAAAAAAATATTTAACTTGGCATGAATTTTTGAAAAAAAAAAATTAAAAAGTTTTATACGTTTTAATCGTTAAATGATTGACCGAATTTTCGTAACCAAATTTACACGTTTGACCGAAAATATTTAAGGAAATAATTGATAGAGGGATTTAAAATTTGGCTTTCAATACTATATCAAGTAATACTATTTCAATACTATTTAAAATTTTGAAGCTAGAATTTCAAAATTTGGCTTTTACGTTTGTCATGGTGGTTATGTATCTATATATATTGAAAAAGAGAGGTGAATAAATCATTTGTGGAAACTTTTAAAAAACTGGTCAACAAATGATTCCATTTGTGGAAACTATATTAAAAATCCGAAAAGTATTTTTCTTTCTCTTGATTTTCTTTTTAGTTTAAATCATTCTTAATAGGAAGTTGTTATGGTAATTTTTTACAATACTTATCTCAATACATTTAAAGAATTTCAACAAATCAGCTTTAAAAATCCGCAAATGAAGAGAAAAAACCTCCCTAATTTTCGAAAAAAATGACTGAAAATAAAATAACCGAATAGAATGCAAATCAATTGAAATGGCGAATCTCCTAAAATCAATTGGAATTTCGGGAATCTCCTAAAATAAAGAAAATGGCGAATCAATTGAAATACAAATTATAATAGCTTAAATAAAGGAATTGGTTTAAGAACAATATATATTTCTTACGAACAACATGCATTGCTAATTGAAATATAAATTGTAATAGCTTAAAATAAAAGAATCTCCATAATACAGTCTCATATAAAAATTCGATTATTTTTTGATTTTTTTTTTATCCAATCAGCCTACACATTTGATATGTAATTGAAATACAAACAAATTGAAATCACCTAAAACAAAAGAATTGGTTTATTCTTTTCTAATACAATCTCATATCAAAATGCGATTTTTTTTTTCTTTTCTTTTTTGACATACAATCACATAAGCTTACAAATTTAGATTTCTTTTAAATAGAAATTGAAATCGAATACATCCTAAAATAAAGGAATTTGATATGGGATTCCTCCATAATCCCATTTCATAATACAATTAATTTCGGACTTTTTTTTTTACATAAAACCGATTCCACCGACTCAGTATCGAATTGAAATTGGATTCCACCTACAAATTTGGAATCTAATATGAAATACACATTGAAATCAGATATCCTAAAATAAAGGAATTGGTTATTCATCCAAAATACAAATCCATATCAAAATATCAAAATCCGATGAAATAAGAATTTCAAATGAACTACAATTCATCTATTTCCATAATATATGGAATAGGAATTTCAAATCAACTACAATTCATCTCTTCCACAATATTTTATTAAAGTCAAATTTAAATGGATTTAAACTCGAGATTTTGTTTCAAACTCGAGATAATGTGTACTTAAATAGATTGATTATTTTTTTATTTACAAAAGTCTACATTGGACAAATTTCCACAAGATTTTTTTACCGATTTTAAACTCTCTTTTAACAACAATATATATATCTTATGATCAACATGCATTCACCGTATTACAAACTCATATCTTAAAAGGAAAAATCACATTCTCTGTAATGAATGAATCATTTGGGTTAATCAAAGATGTTGATAGGAACAAGAGACCTATGCTTAAAGTTCGAATTGTGAGAATGTTTTTTCATGACAAGGGCAGCACATACAAGTCGCATCTCGAGTTTATTTTGCATGATAAAACTGTAAGCGATATGGTTTCGAATTTTTTTTTCATTATAAAAATAAGCATATGTTCAAATTTAGTATTTATATACCATATTAATTATTTTTCAATTTGTTGTTTCAAATTATTTGCCAAAGGAAATCGCATTACGACGTGGCTACGAGCAGTCTATTTGTCGGCGTTTAGAGAGAGGAATCTTGAAGAGGGTATGGTCATTGCTATAAGAAACTACCAAGTTGAAAGCAACATTGGTATGTATTGATTTGTAGCCGGCAAGTTTAAGATAATATTGCATGGGAGCACTATATTTTTGAAGTGCAGAGAAAGTTTTCCTACGTTTCGGTTTCAATTCATAGACTTTGCAACTCTACAAGATGTCAACAAAATTGACGAATCAATTCTATTCGGTAATATTATTTTATTATGTTTCTAATATTATTTGATGTATTTGAATAATTGATTATTTAAAAGGGGTTGAAGATATTATTTTGTGAGAATGACGAGTTGTCCAATAATTAAACTTATAATGTTGTGTACAAGGAGGTCTTTAATAATATATGATTGTTTCTTTGTCGAATACTATCTTATTGTACAATTTCCCTAAGTGTTATAAAACTTTTATTTAATTATGTATCTTAAAATATAATATTCTCCAAATAAATCTAGTCCGTGCATCGCACGGGTCACATACTAGTTCTTTGTAATTTCAGGTGTCCGAATAAAAATTTTAAAGATTATTTAAAGATTAATTTTCCTCTTTTATTCTAACTGAAAAAACATTTCTTTATGTTATTTCAAGACCCACTTCTAATAGGTGCCTGTAAATTGTTGACTTCACTGCCTTCACCAGAAATGTGTGACGGCTGAAGGTGGGCTCTCTTCCACTTATCGAAGGATCTACATCAACAAATGGTGGACGATGACAAGAGGTATTACTTCATGAACCTCTTCCCCTAATGGCGTATGACGGCTGACGGTGGGCTTCTGCGCCGCCCTCTCAACGGTTCTCGAAGGATCTACAAATAGTGGACGAACGATGACATGAGGCATTACTTCAACCTGTGCAGGCGGGGACTAAACTTGTAACTGAATACTGGCCCAAAGATAAAATATACATTGTCGGGTTGAATAGTACGCTCTTACAAATTTTAAAGAGCCTGGAAATGACCAAAAAGAACTTTTGTTGTCTGTTTTGTTACTTTATATAAAAACCTAATTTTTCATTTTTCTTAGCCGCGAAGCCGCTCTCTTTCCGGTCCACCTTTCATATCACTCCACCCTCACTGACGCTTCGCATTTGGCCACTTTCTCGAGCCTCAGCAGCAATCTTCTCAGTACGGTCGCGTTTGGAGCTCACTTTCTTGATTTTCTCCTCAGTAGGACCTATTTACGTGATTCAAAGGATGAAGAAGAAGAATCAGAAAGTAAAGACGAACGGGAAAAAGAAGAGAAGAATCGAAAAATCGGCCGCGTCCGAGTGAAGAGCATGGGAACCAATCCACCGCCGCGAAGTACGATCGACACCGCTTCAACGACAACAGTACGAGCCCGACTTCTTCTTGAACTCGTTACGGGCAAGATCCTACTTCAACCCTTCATATACTTTCAAGGTAACCAAAATTCTCATTTTTTTTTTTTTATTCTGCCACTTTTTCCCTATCAGGCGAGACAATATTATCACCCTAAAAACCATTCTTTCACATCTACAATGAAAAGTTTTTCTAGGCCTATGAGGTTGGAAAAGAGTGTTCTTGAATTTTATAGAAAAAAAGGTAAAAAAATTTGGGTTAGATGCTTGATCACCATTCTAATCTTATTAATCAACTTGTAGAACTGAAAGGAGAGAATTGAACGATCTAGGCTCGTTTAGAATAGGCTTATTCGTAAATATATTGTCTATGTGTTAATTGATTCAATAATTGGTCGTTCATGTTTGTTCTCTTATTACGAAAAGTTATTGAGAATGAACCTCTAGATGAGTAGGTTATTTGAACCCTTAAACGAACGACTGTTTGCTCAATAATTGCGTTTAGAACAAGAAACGATTATCTCCGACTCTGTAACTTTCTCATCAATATCTGAATTTTGTTTGGAATTTGAAAATTTTCTTTGCATCGTTTTGGGAATCTTTAGTTGATAATCAAAACCAAAACCAAACTGAATTAGAGTGTTTAAGAATTTTTTTTTTTTTTTTTTTGTGTGTTTGAATATTCGTACAAATAATTCGGCTAACCTTCCTTGCAATACAACCCAAGTATTGAATCTTTTGATTTAACTACGATATAAAAAACTACAACAAGAATAATTGTCTTATGTTAGCATAATCTATAAATATAAAATATCAAAAATTATAATTTCACGGGAGTAAAAAAAAGGTAAAATTACTGAGGCCAAATATACCTCTTTTGTCCAAATTAGAATTGAGGGATGACTAATACATATGTAATATGTTAGTTATCAGTGCTAACCTTGGTATGGAAGTTATGCATGAACGTAATGCCCATAACTTTCCTCTAGATCTAGCTGCTATTGAAGTTATAACAAATGGATAAAAATCGCTCTTAGTTAGCGTATAGGAGGTTTTGAAAATAGAATATAAATATAAGGAGCAATAAATTTTTTCTTCTTCTATCAGGGATTATTGCTCCTTTATTTTCTTTTCAATTCGTAGTATTGTATTTCCTCGGCCTTTTGATTTCCAATACAGGATTCTTCCTTCTTAATTTAAGGGTTGATTGTGAGTATTTTTTTGTTGTAGAATTTTTTGATTTTGATTAATGTTTTTAGTTTAAACATAAAAATATCTTAGAAAGATAAAATTGAAACAAAAGAGTACTTCTTTTATACTAGTATACTTATATTATTTTATTCTTATGTTAAGTCTCATATTTTAACTTTTCATTATTTTAGATATATATTATTATATTCATATAGCGCATTATCCCATTTTAAATGTTATATTACTAACTATCATAAAGGATGAATAATTACATCTCATTATTTAGTCTAAAAATAATCTAGATCTTTTTATAGTTATTTTATTGTCAAATTTAGTTAATAATTTGTTAGTTACATTATAATTAATTATGAAATTATTTTATTTTATTTTTTACACATGAAGCGGGTCGGGTCGAGACTTAATAATACTCAACTTTAAGAATTCGGGTTACCCGTTTACCCGATGAACGCCCGATAACTCGTTGGGTAAAATCTAACCCTAACCCAAAGATTAATAGCCGTATAACGGGTCTAATTCGGGTAGGATAAATTATATCCGGGTAGGGTTCGAATTTGCAAAACCCGCACCCGACTCACCACTTACATCACTACTCTGAGTCAGTCTAGGACAATCGCAACACTTCGCACTAAAAGTACAACACAGTAAATGTAAGATTTTAAACACAGGATATATTTCCTTTATTTTTATATATATCCCATAAATAATTAAATTTGTTCATTAATAAATCCAACTTATTTTTATCTACTTAAATGTAGGAAAAAGGATACGGGCTTTAAGGACTGAACTCCACCGCAACAAATACACTCATGCTCTGGTTTGTCTTGTCGGAGCAATTGAGCATGGGATGCTAGAATTCAGGCAATTTCTGGTGGGATTTTTTTTTTATCTTTTCTTGTTTACTTTGTTCTGCTTATCTCATGTTTTTGGGGTTCTTGTTTGAAAGGTGCGAAATTTTGATTTTTTTTTCACTCATTTTCAAGAAAGGGTAATAAAAAAGTCGATCTTGCTAGTTGTTCGAATCATTTTCTTAAATTTTGTTGATTGCATTTTTATTGAAGTAGAAAGTGCAACAAAGGCGAAGATATCTGTGTTTAGGTGCCACATATTTGAATTTTGAACAAAAAGAAAGAAAATAAATTCGAGGTCCTGAGTTTTGATTCTTGTGTAGTTTCTGAGGGTTACTAGTTAGCTTTAGTTTGAATGTCCGTTTATAGTCTGCTTCAATTTTTTGGTAACTATTTGTGAAATTGGAAATGATGGTCCTCTTGATATAAAGTGAAGAAGGAAGAATGTTTAGATGTTAAAGTTTAATAATTAAATAAGGCATTTGGATTGTAATTCTTATTTCCTCAGCAGTGCNNNNCAAGAAAGAGTCGTCGTCTATAGTTTGAAGAAGTGCGGCATCAATCAATTGCACTTATGGAGCCTATGATTTGCGTCATTTTCTTGTGATTAGTTTTGTCAAATTCAGTACATGATCTGAAAGATTCTAATTGATATGACTGATGGGTTTCACTAAACTTTTTCTACTCTTGGCATGTGAAAGTGTGTTTTTTAGTAGAATTTCTACACTAGCTATCTTATTGGCTTAAAAGGCTACAAAAATATCCGATTCAAGAAGTGAAAGTCTAATGATCAATCTCTTTGTTTTGTTCCTGTACCCTTTACTGTCTAAATGTGTGTCTCTGACTCTGTAAATGGAACTTTAATGGTGATAACTTTTTTTAGATTGGCCACATTGTTTCACTTACATTCCTCTTTATATGAATTAAATTTCTTACATCTGTAGAAAGTGGGCATTTGTTTCGCTCCTCAGTGTATATGCTCTACAGAATATATCTTTGCTTAAACATCTTAAAAGGGTATCTTCGCTCCTCTGTGATATATATGTTTATGTTATTGTTCGGAGTTTATGTTTCGAAGAACCTTACATAACTTGATGTTGCCTTGATGGCGAAGCCATAAATTTTGTCGTCTTCATGACTTGTAGCCTGTCAAATTGATAATTATGGTTTGTCAAGATTGATATGTTGGCTGTTTTCGCTTTCGTAAAAGATAAAACTTCTCTTTTGAGTTTTGACTTGTTTGTGCATTTTGTCAGTTAGTATACGAAATTCAACAGCTTGCTGTCAGTTACTTTTGGAGTTCTACTCTCTTTCATAAGCTGTAGCTGTTCTCAAATGATTGAAATTGCTTTATCAGATGCTAGCATTAGTCCTCCATGGTTACTCAAAAGAAAATTCAACTTCATTTGTGAAGGTCTCACGGCTTATTACCTTCTTCATGAAACTCCTATGATCTATCTCTATTTGCAAAATATTTTATTTTCATACTGAGATGAAACATACAATTATTTCCTAAAGATTGACATGTCCTAACTCCACCTGAGATACTTCCTTCCTGTACAAACTTTCCAGAGGTTATGCCTTCTGTCTTTGAAAATCTATTTTTCTTTTGCTTCTCGGTAAAGTATTGATTATTGTATATATTTCAAATGACCTGATAATCCAGATTTTCGTCTAGCTTATGATCTATTAGATTTTTTCTGCCTTACTAGAGTTACCATTGATGTATGAATTATAAGTTGGCTACACAACAAAATTCTTGTATGGAGTATGATTATGATAAGAATGCTTCCTCCTT